AAAAAAATAAAGCCTGCAAGTGACGTCGCTAGCGGAAGCGCAAGTGTCTGAGAGTGCAAGTCTGAGAATGCACGTCTGAGAGTGCAAGTGCAAGGCTGCAGCCAGACCCTTCTCGAAAATTCAGCTTTCCATCATAGGAATAAATTACATTTTAAAATATATTACAATAAAAAACTGTTATTTTAAGTTGTAATAACATTTCACAATATTACTGTTTTACTGTATTTTTGGTCAAATAAATGTAGCCTTGGTGAGAATAAGAGACTACTTTCAAAAAACATTAAAAAAATCTTACAGATCCTAAACTTTTAAATATCAGGCTAATGGCACTAGTCTTGAGAATCAGGTACAACAGCAAAAGACAAACACTGCATCCGAAATTGCATACTTCCCTACAATACAGTAGGTGAAAAACAGTATGTGAGGCGAGTCGTATGTCCGAATTCATAGTATTCGAAAAACAGTAGGCAAAAAGTACCCGGATGACCTACTACTTCCGCCCCGATTCTGAAGTGCGCATTCTATGGACACTTTACTATCCCATGAGGCCAAGGGAGATGATTTCTGAATGGCAGTGAAGCGACGCAACTGACGCTGGTAGGTCATGTTATAGTAACAACATGGAGGATGTAGTATGTCCAAATTTCACACAATTCTAAGAGTCCTGTCTTAGAAATGTAATAAATATAACAAAAGAATTTGAGCACTAATGGATCCAGGCCCACTGTGTAAACCACAGCTTCCCAGACGTGATTTTGCAAGTGAGGTAATCAGGACCACCATTAAGATGTGTGATTAGGTTTAACTGAATGAAATTAGTTCCGGTCATCTGCCCTCTCTCTTAGCGGTACTCCCTACCTGTGACTGAACGTTGGCCCCGACTTGGGCCCCCTGATACGAGTCCCCATTCAGAGACTGCACACTCATGAACAAGTCCCCGGAGTTCATGTTAAAAGAGCCAGCAGACCCTAAGAGGAAGAGAGGCCGAGAGAGAGAGACAGAGAAAGACAGAGATAGATAAAGACAAGAAACGGTCATGCAACAGTAAGATTGAAGTAAGGAGGGTTAGTAGTGCAGAGCTATTATTATAAATGTTGAAAACCACACAAACTCGGTACCAAATTCCCAATCCTAAATCCAAGATTAGAATGAGTAGAGAGAAATGCTGTTATAAATGTTATAGTTAATTCATAGAAAAGTACCTAATATTTTTGTTTGCTTTGTATATTTATGCCTATTAGGGGATTACACTATTAGCTTAGCAACACGCCAATGCCAAACTCTACTGGAATCAATTAAGGGCTGGGCAATATGGCCAGAAATATTTATCACAATATTTTTTTTCAATATAATTTGATATCAATATGTATCACAATATTCATTTAAAACCTTTAATGGGGAAATAAATGCATTCCACATATTTATCAGACCTTGAGAATGAATGTAAAAATAATGTGTTTGCTTACAAGTAAACATAACTTTTAACTTAGGTCCCTATGAAATCAGTTTTAATTTTTCATAAAACTTGAACAATTTAATTAGTATGTTTTACAATGTAATCAACTGAAAATATAACAATTTACAACAAAACACTGCATTTTTATTGCATTTATTTTGTCAAATAAAGTGTTGCACAACAAAACTTGTATACTGTATGAAATAAAACATGGATGAAAAAATATCTTGGTTGTATGATATTCCTTGAAATAATAATAATAATAATAAAAATATTATTATTATTATTACTTCAAGAAGTACAATTTACTGTAGGATAGTAATATATTACTGTCATAATTTATTCAAGTTAAACCAAACTTTTATTTTGGCAGATTGTTGTGAAGACCTTAGAGTTTCGACACATACATGAACATCTAAATATAGGCTAAACATCAGAAATTACTCAAACATTTACTATCGATATTGTGGATTAATTTTTTTCAGTAAATATTGATTCCGATTTATTGCCCAGACCTAAATAATTCTAGTCTCCAGTGCACTTCACATGAGAAGCACTACACTTTTTTAAATGCTAGACAGCATAATAAACCATTCTCTTTTCAGGTTCCTTTCCGGTTAGAATGCTGTCTATATAGTAAGCAGACAGCAAGGTAAATCACTAGGTTTTAGAACAGCCCTGCTGAACCTGCCTAAGGTTGTTTACTGTTCGTAGCTAGTTTTTCAGCCTGGACATGCTGATCGGCCAGTGCCCAAATCCCTCTAAAACCATCAAAACAGACTTGCCTGACATCTTGGCAAGGCTGGGTAACTAGCTAACCGCCTTCGGCAAATTTAAGCTGTTTTGTTTCAGTAGGGAAACAAAGTAGTTCTAATGTAGTTAAATGCCACACATAGACATTTGTCCAGATGCAGTAACATTTACTGTTGTTTGGCAAATTTTTGTGGGTAAAGACCAGTTATTTTAACAGGAATTCATGCATTCTTGAATTTTGTGTGAGGACAAAAAATTTCCCCCTGCAGATTTTACATCGGGTTCAAGTAGGTCACACAGAAAGCTGCTTGGTTTGGAAGTGACTTCTGTGTGAGCTCTGCTTCATACATTGCTACACTATTGACAATGAACCTATTTGGCCCACAAAATTTCACTGAAATTTCGCTAATGTGACCGCATCTTTTGCTAAGCACTAAAAATCTAAAATAGCTATTAAAGTGTTTCAAGAACAACAATGGGTCTTTCATTAATTCTACAGTGACATCTAAGATGGACAGTAGAGTTACACTGCCACAGCCAAGTCATTCAGGATGTGCTAATTGAGTCACAGAAGGAATCAAAGAATGCTATTTGTCTTTTAATGGAGGAGAACTCCCAAGATGTTTAAGAGAGAGCAGGGCTTAACTTAATTTCCGCTTTAAAAGCCGCAGGGCACTAATCAAATATACATGGACCTCTAATCACTTCAAGGCTATATGACAAAAGGCTTGACCATCTCGTCATAATGACATCCAGGAGGTCAACCAGACAACAGCTACCGAGCCAGCTAACAGTTTATGTGCGTTCACACGAGTTAAAGCAAATAAAATTTTAGTCAAACGACTGCTAAGTCAGACTAGCAAAACTGAAGAAAAGCAGAAAATTGGCGAGTAAAAGAAGAATTATTGGTAGTGGAAAGCGAAAGTCTTATATAAGCTATGCTGCTGGCCATGCTGCTGATGTAGATAAAGAAGAGGCAGATTTGGATCTCATAAAGAGAGGTATTATGGGAATGCTACAGTAAAAGAAGGACAAAATAAAAGGCAGGCAATTGTCGAATATTCAAAACATTAACATGGTGAAGTGCTTATTTGCCAGTTGATGAAATTAAAGTTGTTTCTGTGCCACTAGCAGGGCTATATTCTAAAACTCACTGAAGACCAATGAAAAACGAACACATCTGTTGTTTGTGTGTTGATTTATTGCAATACTCACCTGCTGAATTTGGTGTGGAAGGCGAGTTGGCTTGGCTGCCGTGGGTGGAGACATTGGTTGCGGTCACGGCGGTTCTGGCGGCGTACATGTTGGCTTCTTCTTGGAATTTTCCAATATTTTTCTTATATCTGATCCTCTTGTTTCCAAACCAGTTGGATACCTGAGAAGACAAGAATGAATGATTAAATCAGAAAGAACATAAATTAATTTCAACTTCAATGTTACTTGAGAGCTCTTTAGTTTCTTTGTACTACAAATTTCTAAGCATTCATATGTATTCTGCATATATGTCGCACGTGCTACGAAATAACTGGTCTGTGCGATGAATAAATTTACCACTGTAGCACGCGTTCGATACAGTTTTGCATGTTCATAACACAGCCGCTTAATAGTGTGAAGCATGGGTGTAGCTTGTGGGGGGGGGCAGGGGGGCCTGGCTCCCCCATAGCGATTTAAGAATTTTACTAAATATTTATTTATAAAGTTTTTTCTATGAAGTAAAAATGTATATAATGCAGTTAATAATACATGTAAAAGTGAATACATAAAAGTTAATACATTTTAAATTGTTATTGTAAGTCAATTAATAAATCAAAACAAACTTAACGTCTGCCTCAATCTCATTTGCGTAAGAATTGTCACGTGACGAATCTACATTTTGGTGGATAATAGACTTAACGGTAACGCTTGCCTGTTGTGTGGGAAAAAATTATGTTCCGCGTTTTTAACAACATACACGAACTGCAGAGAATTCTGGAGACAACGAAAAACTCTGATGAAGATATTAATGCCGTGCATGTTCAACAGACGAAATAAACTAATTCAGGTTTAAAACAACTTGAGTAAATGGTGGTATAAAAATTAAACACTATGACAGAATTGAAAGAAAGATGACAATTTTCATTTTTGGTGAACTATTCTTTTAATGTTAATAAAACAAAAAAACACAGAAAAATCTGCTCACTGCTCTTGACTGATGAACTTATCATCAGTCAGTTGCTTTTAAAAAAGTATAATTGATGTATATAGTGTATATAGTGTTTTATTTTAATATTTGTACATTCAATTTCTTGAATGTTACTGCTAAATACTGTACCTGAAAAATGAAGCACTGTTTGTTTTATTTGTATATTATGTGTATTTGTAATGTATATCTTTGTTCTTATTTTCTAATAACAAAGATAAAATAATGACAAAGATTATTATCTTTGCTCACTTTGGCCTAAATGTCTGCCATTATTTTTTATTTTATATTTTGTTAAAGTGTAAGAGGTGTTATGTTTCTGCACTCTTCTATTTTTAGCAAATTATTTTTGTGATGGTTTGTATTTTTTGTGCTCTGTATGGAACATCAGTGCCTGTTTAAGTGATGAACTTTCAACCTCTGTAGCACCAGTGCTATGTGAACAAAAAGTTACCATACAGCCCTGCTGTATGGGGTGAAGGTTGGTGTGTCTCACCTGTGAGACTGTAATGGAGCATTTCTTTGCCAGCTCCTCCTTGGCCTCTTCGCTGGGGTACGGGTTGCTGAGGTGGGAGTAGAAGTATTCATTCAGGAACTCTGTGGCTTGCTTATTGAAGTTTCTTCTTTTTCGTCTAATGGAAAATGACAGAACAGAAAGAAATAAAGAAAGAAAGAGAGAAAGCAAGAATGAGAAATAGAGAGTGAGAAAGAGAAAGAGCAAAGCCAGTTTGATTCAGAAGCTACAGTGTTTAGAAAGTCCTTCACATTTGAACCTGATGTGTAAATACAGTGGCTCCAAAGAGTGTTTGGACATTTTATTCACACTTAAAAATGTATGAACATAGTTGAATTCCATTAAATATCAAACTAAGTGACACAAGCACAATTTTAAATTAAAACATTTCATAAAAATGCTGTTGGGTTTCAAAATATATAATATATAGTACCACTGAAAGGTTTTTTTTTTCTTGGAAAAAAAAAAGTATACTTTTCATATTTCATATAAACATCATTTCATTGAATTTTCTATTTATCAAAGAAACCTGGAAAAAAAATCAAGGTTTCTACAAAAACATTAAGCAGCACACCTATTTTCAACATGGATAATAATGTTTCTTGAGGACCAAATCAGTATACCAGAATTATTTCTGAAAGATCATGTGACACTGAAGACTAGGAGTAATGGCTGATTCAGCTTTGCCATCATAGGAATAAATTACATTTTCAATATATTAAGCTAGAAAACAGTTACTTTAAATTTTAAATACAATTTCACAATTTTACTGTTTTACTGTTTTTTTGATCAAATAAACGAAGTCTTTCTTAGCATAAAAAAACAGTTATTTCAAAAACATTACAAAATCTTACAGACTCCAACATTTTGAACCAGTGTATATATTTGGACTCTTTACTTGTAGAGAACATCCACTAAAAATCATCTTTGTTTAATTTTTGGTGCATTAGATGTAGTATTAGATACAGACACACTCATACAGACCTGGCATCTAGGAAGCGGGAGCGCAGGATCATGACCGCTTCACAGGTGCTCTGCTTGAGCTGCATCTGGATGGTGCTGAACTTGCGATGGATGATGTTCACCATGCGCTCAATCTCTTTGGGGGAGATGGGCCGAGTGCGAGACTGCTCCCTCAGCAGGTTCATCACATGGGTGGTGAACTCATTACACGCCTGAACATGCACAGAGGGGCGGCACACGAATCAATCTCTGTGCATGTAAACATAACTACAGGAGCTGCTCAAATATCCTATCCTGAGGACTTTTTTGGTGTGCTAAGGCCTACAACATTTTGTTGCAAAACATTTGCATTTACAGAGGTCAGATCTAGGAGTCTTTTCTGAAGTCCAGACTCTGTTCTCTCACCTGCTCATACTTCTCCAATTCTGTATGGTAGATTTGACGGATCTGGGACAGCTTGGCCCGGTAGTCAGAGTGTTCGGCCGAGTTATCGGGCCCGCCACCACCTGCCGCGGCAGCTGCGGCTGCTGCTGCAGCCGACCCGCCTCCTTTCTCAGGTCCGGACACGCCTTCGGCTAGCAGCATGTTGTCCAATCGCATGAGCTGAGCATCTGGTGGCTCCTCCTCCTGAGCTCCACGGATACTGAGTACTGAAGGGAAGAGAGAATAAACACTCAAGTAATTTTGTAGGTTCAACTAGGGCTGGGCGATATGGGCAAAAAAAAAAAATCTGTATTTAATATATATATTTCACTTACTGTCCAATGTTGTCCAACAAAACAATACATACTAAAGGCTATGAAAACAAATAAAGTGAATGTAACCATGTAAGCCTTTATACTATGTGCAAAAAAGGGTTAAAAATCACATTTCATTCTAATATTGTAACATTGCAATCTAAAAATGAAAATAAATGAGAACAAAAGCACAGGGTTGTGTTAGGCTATTTTGATTACCCCATTAGTCACTTTACAGTCAGTGCTATCATAGAAATTGACTTAATTGTAGGTTTAAAATTCTACATGTCACATTTATTGTCCAACTACAAATATTTCGGCGAAATGTATATTTTAGTCAGAATTATTGCGCTCCTATTTAACTGTGCTCCGTCTGTTTGGCGCGCATGCGCACAGCGGCACTCATTAACTGAAGTCTGTGAAGTTTAGCAGAGAATCCCAAAGCAGGAAATCCTGAAAGTTTTCAGACAAATTATGTTGTCTATGGCTATGTAGTAGACATTTAGTGGTCATTTCTGGTTAACTGTATACTTAGAATAATATTTCTAATATTAGTTAAGCTAAGAATTCCAATATCTCAGTATGACACTTAAAAATGAGAAGCACGCACACGCACAGGCACACACACACACACACACACACACACACACACACACAGATATATATATATATATTTCCCTTTCAGTCAGTCACGTTCTATGATACGTCAGTCGTGACTGACGAATTGGGATCTCGCCCGAGAGTCCTATCACCTTTGAGTGTAAACTAAACAAGCCAATGAAAGTTGCCGTGCGTGTTTCACCACGCGCACCCCGTCCCGCAGCACGGGTATAAAAGGAGAGCGCGTGCAAACGCACATCAGCTTTTCGCTTCGGAGCCGAGCCTTCTCAGGACGAATCTCCGCGAGATGATCACTGCCTCTCGTGCTTGGGCTTGCAGCACGCTGAAGCAGCGCTCATGGATGAGTCATGTTCTCGGTGCGGGAACATTACGATTGCGATATCCCTCCGGTTGAGTGCGCTATTGCCATGCAGCTCTGCCCGCAAACCACCGCAGCCTGGAGGGGTAGTCCATGCCGTCCGTCCAGGGCTTGTAAGTTCTCGTCTGCTCTGACAGCTAAGGCTTACAGTGTTGCTGGATAGGCCGCTTCCGCCCTGCACGCCATGGCCCTCCTGCAAGTCCACCAGGCCAAGGCGCTGAAGCAGCTGCACGAGGGTGGTGCTGACCCAGGTGTGCTGCAGGAACTGCGCATGGCGACGGACCTTGCGCTTAGGGCGACGAAAGTCACGGCGCGGTCCCTGGGTCAGACGATGTCCACATTGGTGGTCCAGGAGCGCCACCTATGGCTGACCTTGGCGGATATGAGGGAGGCCGACAAGCATCTCTTCCTGGACTCCCCGATCTCCCAGGCCGGCCTATTCGGCGAAGCGGTGGAGGGCTTCGCCAAACAGTTCTCCGCCGCGCAGAAGCAGACGGAGGCGTTTCGACGCATCCTGCCCCGGCGGTCTGCTGCTGTCTGCCCCCCACCGCTGGCTGCAGCCCTCTCTGCCTGCTCGTCGCCGAGGGCGCCCTCCTGCGGCCTCCACCTCCGCTCCAGCTCGGCCGCAGCAGCAGCCTTCACAACGGCCACAGCATGTAGCTGGCAGCAGGAAAGCGGCGCAGCCCGTCTCCGCCCCTGCCAAGCCCGTGAAACGCCAGGGCGGGCGGCGTACCTGGGGTGGGCGGCGTCCCTATTGATGGGCGACCCGGGGTTCTTGGATCCGGCTCTTCAGGAGATGGTGACCGCACCACTCCTTCCCCCGGCGGAGGGCCGGGTGGAGAATCTTATGTTCCCGTTTGTTTTTGTTTCGCCGCTGGCTACCCAGCCAGTGGTACCCAAAACTTCAATAAAAGAGCAGTTTCCTTTGCCTCCGGGTCCCAAGAGGGTGAGGACGG